CCCCTCTTTTAACCCATTACCCCTTGTCCTGTCACTACAGTCCCTAATGAAGAGTCCATCTCCAGCATCCTTGTAGGCCCCCTTCAGATACTGGAAGGCTGCTATGAGGTCTCCACACAGCCTTCTCTTCTCCAGTCTGAACAGCGCCAACTCTCTCATACGGGAGGTGCTCCAGTCCCCTGAGCATCCTCTGGCCCTCCTCCAGACTTGTTCCAACAGTTCCAGGTCTTTTTTATGTTGAGGACACCAGAACTGTACACAATATTCCAAGTGAGTCTCATGAGAGCAGAGGGGCAGGATCACCTCCTTTGATTTGGCATATAAGTTTTGTACTCCCAAAGTCTAAAACTAGAGAAAATGCATTGACCTATTCCCAGTCCTTCCAGTCTGCTAGCTTGTTTTGAATGTGGTTGTCCATCCTAATAATTTGGCAGGTTGATGACATCCTTAGCAATATCAGTGAAGAAATCAAAACACTGGGGCAAAGAAGCTGAGCTTTAACTCCACTGTTAGTAACAGTCCCCTCATAAGATATAGCAGGGAAGGTAATCAGCAGTGGCATGATTTTGGATGCTCTGTTGCGTGGCTGGGGCCTCTCCATTTGGAGAGCACTCTATGAGGGAGGTAGCAGCTCTGCTGAGTCTGCTTCACCCTGTTCCTTTGGGAAGGAAAAATACTGCCTGCAATCCTGGACTGACAGCGGGGCCTAAGGGACTGCAGCAGAATCTTGTGAGGACCTCAGTACACACACTTCCCACTGCTTCATTCCTTTTTTTTGCATTCAGCTCCATCCGTGCATCCTTGCCTCTGCTGCCTCCTTTCTAGGGGAGCCATATCACAGATTTCTCTGTCTGTCCTGAAAAAATCCCACATGAAGTCCTAACCAACAGTCATCCAGAAGGAGAGAAACAAGGGGAGGTGATTGAGTTAGCCATGTCTTTGCTCCCAGCTGATGTTTGTTCATTCTCTTCATGGGGTATAGGAAAGAGTGGCCACAGCTACCAACTACTGTTGCTTGTGTTTCTTCTCTGGCTTGTAACAAAGGGCCTATTCCTATTGTTGTGTGTAAAACTAGGAAGAATTTTGTCGGCATTCAACTAGATCAGCCAAGTCTCATGCTAGAACATGGAAGAGGGATGCTCTTTAGAGGTCACGAAGTAGATCTCCTACAGCAAACCCTCATTCTGGATACAGAAAATTCTTCTTCCCAAATCAAATGATGTCTAGTTAATGCATTACAGATCTCAAGGAATGGTTTTGCAACAATAATGCTTTCTGGCATAGCACTTATTCTGTACACATTAGTCACTACACTGACATGTTGCAAATGAGGTCGTAAAAGCTAAACAAGCCATAAAATTGGATTCTTAATTTAGGGTCCAGATAGCTCCTGTGTATTTCCACAACCTAGACACACTTCACTCTGAATTAGATATTGCCAGACTCTGAACTGCAGAAAAGTGCTGTGGAAGGTTAAGGCTTTGCCATCTGTAATGCAGTAAAAATACCACTGTTATTCACACTGCAGCTATAGTGGTTTTTTTTGCCAGCTACTGTGTATATGTAGCAGGTTATTAAGCATGAGTCATCTTACTGAACCTTGCCAGTCTGAATGAAGGACTTACATAATCTTTAAAATGTGATTTAGTAAACAAGAGCAGACTGTCAGCCAGCATCATGCTGTCTGACCAAGCAGAAAGGAAACCAGGTAGATAATGATGCTGCTTGTGCTTTCTACAGAGTCCCTCCCTGCCAAAGTGCCATTGCCAACTTCTGCAGCAGTTGGTGAACCAAAGACACATTGCTTCTGAATAACGGATGGATTTGGATTTTCAGCTCTGCACAAACAATCTATACCATGGCAGTTGGCCTGATCTCATTTCAGTGTGGGGAAAATGGTTCTTCAGCCAAATAGGGCTTTCTGTCTTCCAAGATATGTCTGTGGTCACGCAGCAATTGAGCAGTTCCATGCTTTCCCATGGGTTTGCACTGATGTAGCTTCTGACTATAGCCCTGACTACAGCTGTCCCTTCTTTCCCCTTCACCGTGAGTATGGTGTTACTCCTCACATCTTTTGGCGTTTCTTCTGTGGCAGGAAGCATTGTAAGTCTGTATCTTTGAATATACCAATCAGCAGGAATGTCAGTGCCCTTGGGGTTTTGATCCCTGTCAAGATCAACAGTTTTTTTATAAAGGATTAAAAAAATAAACAAATGTAACAAACAACTTTGAGATGCTTAAAAAGAGTATGTCAGAAAAGGGGAGCCTTCTCCACTGCCTAAAAGGCTTGCAAGGTGGGGACCTACTGCATTTATTGTACTACACAGAAGCACTGGTCATGCAAGGAGCTTTGTGTTGCAGACTTTGCTGTGAGATATGTACTATTATTGGGGTTTCATGTGGGCAATAGTAGAAGCCGGAATTTGAGTTATTGTAGCTGTTGTTCCCTGTGCATGCATCCTGGCTTAAGCTACTGCAAAACCAAGCTTGAATCTTACACCATTTTAACTCTTTTTCCTAATGGTGTACTTCTCCTGTTCATCCATTATTCAGGACTTCCTTACATGTCCTGCTAATCTCAAAGATGTTGTGAAAATACCTTGTTGTTTGTAAAATAGCTAGAAATTCCCATGCTGGCTCCATTTTTGACTCCACCAGTGAGGCACAGCACCTGGGTAGGGAGGGAAGACCCATGGCAAACCTCATGGAGGGAATCATAGGTATAACTTGTCCATTCTGCCTCTGGTTTTGGTTTGCACAGGCCACCCTCTGCCTGCTAGATGAAAGTGTGTGGGCAGGGATATGCAGGCTGAAAAACCACTGAAACATAGCCCGTTCACCTCCCTTGGCTCAGAGCAAACACAGTTATCTGCAGCTAGCTGGCAGGTGACTTTGTAGAGCAAATAAGTAGGCAAGTAGTAATTTATATTGATTTCAGGGAAGCCAGGGGCCATTAGCCACCATGCAGCTGTGTTTTCGAGCCATGGCACAGTTCATTTTGCATCTCAAAATGCTTGTATAGAAGAGGACAGGGAACAAAATGAGGTGTAACATTGACACGAATGCTGTATTTCAGTTGGGAAAAATATAAAGGGCGTTTCTGCCTATATAAAAATGCAAGTGAAATGAGAACAATGGGAGCTCTGAGTCTTGCAGGTCATGCTTACAAAGCCCAGGAGGGATGTTAGGGAGAGTCTCCAAAAAGACCTGCGGAAATGAGCATAAGTTCCCAGTTACTTTCAGCTGAGCAGTAACTTCAGAACATTCTCGACCCATCCTGTGCCCAACAACCCTGAAATTTTGCATGGTTTGAGGTTTTTTGTTACTGATCTTTTCCAGCAACTCGAATAACCTTCACTTCTAAAAGTATGACAACAGTGTAAAGAAAGAGAGACTGTCCAGTCTGAAGACCCTGGGTGAGGGCTATGTGTTGGGGTCCATCTGTGAAGCACTGACTTTGTTACAGACTACTGGAGTTTGAGTTACCTAGACCTGTTGAAGTCAGCTAGACCTTCACAGTTTACTTTCCTCTATTTCTTCCACAGTCCTTGAGGATCTTCGCAGTAGAGGGTAGTAATTTACCCCCTCAGAGATGGACTGCTGAGGGGTCCAGTATCCCACTAGTGGCATCTGTGAGAAAAGTGATTTGTGCTATCTTTCTCAATGCTCTAGGATTGTACAGACGTTTGACTAATTGGTTGTGGTAAAAAAAAACAAAAAAAACCCTAAATTATTATTGCAGTATTTAAGTAATAAAATGACTGAATAACAGTAAAATGTGCACTGACTGCAGCTTAAATGTGGAAGTGTGAACATTTTGCATTTTGCAGAACTTTATAAGCAAAATAAAAGTTAAGAAATAATTAACAGCAAATGTTCCTGTGAGCAACCTCTTACAGTAATGGATGATTTACAGCCAGTACAAGAGGCCAACTGAGCATTCCCACTGCAATCTTAAATTTTTGTGGATCAGAGAAACAACTGTAAGTTGTTTCTACAAAGTCCTCGCTCTGAAGTCCTGAGAAGTTGAGGACTTGCAGTCTTGTGAGGGATGTGACCTTCCCTGGAAAGTAGTGGTACAATGTGGGCAGGAAGCAGTTTCTGGCAGGAAAAGACGAACATCTGCAAGGTTTTCTATTTTCATGTTTGACCTGAAACATTGTAGGATTCATGGCTTTGACCCGAGTTCCATGCCTTGTGCTACAAATTTCCGGGTAGTTCTGATGAAAGTGGCAAGTGTTTCTCTTGAACAGAATTCATTATTTAGATCTGGGAAAATAAACTATGATAAAAAGCAAAAGGTTAACTCTCAGAGTTTAAGGAAGGTTAATTATGTCTTAAACCTTGCACATCCCTTAAACTTCTTGTAAGCTGTTGGACAACTGATGGCTGTCAGTGTCGCACAGCAAAGGGTGAATTTGATTGTTTTTTCCTTATATTGAAATGAAAGTTTCTGGCCTTCATTTTCATGCCTCTCAAATTAGTTGAAAAAGAGATATTTGATACATTTGAGAAATGTGCATAAATGATTAAAATGTCATAAAATTTCATCAGGTGCAGAGGGAGTATCTGAGCTGGAGCTTGATTGCCACACTGGTGTTGAAGATAAATTGTATGTTTTAAGATTGGATTTAATTTTCACTTCCTAAGTATGAGGATGCAGTCACCATGTTTTGGGCTGCATTTGGATTTTGTCAGAGATTTAAGCTTCGAATCGTATCACCTCTGATACTGAACTGCCTTGTTTAAAAACCGGTTTTATCTTATTTTAGTTGTGTATTGCAGTGATGTTCCTTCCCTTGGGTTTAAAGGCAGAGTTTTTGTGGGCAGAAAGAGAAATGAGGCCACTTAAAAGCAGCCACCCTTTTGAGAAATGTATTTTGGAGTGCATGAGATGAGTGAAATGTGTTTAGCTGAGCTTACAAATGTTTCACTTGCCCATGCAAACGTGATCTTGCTTCAGAAGTGCTGAAGAGCGGGGTTTTGCTCTCTATTTGCAGGCAAGCAGCAAGCATGAGCTTGGCAACACAGCACTGTGAGTGGCAGGACCCTGTGGTCTGAACCGTGTCTTCAGCTGACTATCCAAGTGGCGAGGCGCCGTTGATCCTGTACCATGGAGGACTGCCTTCACACCTCCTCTGAAAACCTCTCCAAGCTGGTGAGCTGGGCCCACAGCCATGGGACCATCTGCAGCCTCATCCCCAACCTCAAGCACCTCCTCTCCGAGGGGTCCCATGGCAATCTGACTGCCATGTGGGGCTGTAGTGCCGGCCATGCCTACCACTGGCCCCTGGCTGCCACATGCCGGGCTGGTTCCCAGGAGCGCGTCTGTTACCAGGACAGCCGCAGCTTCAACTCAGACAGCCCCAGCATGCTAGGGGTGCCCTCAGAGGTGCAGGCCAGCCCTCTGGAGCGCTACCCAGGGCGGTCGGGCAAGGCCAAGCTGGATTGCACCCGCACCCGTGACTCCTGCGACTTCTCCTACTGCAGCGAGCCGTCGGAGCTGGGTGAGCCCGTGGAGGAGTATGAGGATGAGGCCACCCTCTTCGACATGGTCTGTGAGTCCTCCGTCACCGATGAGGACAGTGACTTTGAGCCGCACACCCAGCGGGCCCCCGCCGGCCCCCGCAAGCGGCCAGCTTCCAGCCAGCCCACCACTGCCCAGGCCCAGCCTGCTGACGAGGGCAGTGGCGAGGTGCTCCTCAAGAAGATCAAGCAGGAGCTCCCCGAGGACTACTACATAGTGGCCAATGCTGAGCTGACTGCCGGTGCCGACGGGCCAGCCCTGGCCCTTACACAGATGTCCAAGCCCAAGCCTCAGACCCAGGCCGGGCCCTCCTGCCTGGGCCCTGCGAGGGCCCTGCCCCAGCCCGCGGTGGGCCCCGACCCTGATCCACAGCACCCCTCCACCTCCCCACCCGGCCCACCGAGGCTGGTCGCACAGAGGCCGCTCCGGGGCCCCCTGGCCTCCCCAGCACGGGGGGCAGGCAGTGGCCCCGTGGCTGCCCTGCAGGCGCCAGCCACCAGCTCCAACGCCGCCACCGCCGCCTCTGGGAAGCCCATCAGCATCCCGCTGTCAGCCCTGCAGCTGCCTGGTCAGGAGGAGCTGCCGGCCGCTGAGGACGCCCTCCCGCCCGCCCCGCAGGCGGCCCCAGGCGGCGAGATGGCCAGCTCGCCGTCGGTGGGTGCCGAGCCTGAGGTCAGCTCCAGCCAGCAGCAGCCCCCCACCATCCCCACCACCACTCCTGAGGCAGCGGTGCAGTCAATGCCAGGTATGATATTGGGTGGGAGCTGAGGGGCAGTTTTGGGGGCAGGAACCCCAGGCATGGCTTTGGGGGAGGGCAAGGAGACCGGGAGAAGGTGCAGCTGGCTCATAAGTCAGTATGTAGAGAAACAGTCATAGAGTCATAGAATCATAGAACGGTTTGGGTTAGAAAGGACCTTAAGATCTTCTAGTTCCAACCCCCCTGCCATGGGCAGGGACGCCTCACCTGGAAGACAATTTGGAAGACCTCAAATGAGCAAAGTCTAGGAGCAACCCCTATGAGAAATTGTACCGCTGCATAGGGAAAGAGCTCTTTGAGGACAGGTTTACAGGTCCAATTTGGGTGCAGTTCTGTCATGGGAGAGGGCGTGCAGCCACTTTGCCATGTGCATGGGACAGGGAGGACATGAAATACAGCCATGCACACTTTTGATGAAGTAGAAAAGTGGTCTGAATCAGGGGAGCCTAGAGTTGGGGGCCGGGTGTTTCCTTCCCCCTGAGAGAAGAGTGGTGTTTGACATGGAGAGGCAAAAGAGGGCATAAGGACAGTATTGAACGGTTTCCCTGACCCGTAAATCAGCAAAGCTTCTAGAGAAAAGGAAAATCACAACCTTAACAATGATATTGATAACATTTAAACTTTAATACAAGAGAAAAAAAAAGCAAGATTTTTTTTTTTTTTTTACTCTGTTCTCAGGGGGAAAGTGGAAGTTTTCATACCTCATGCCCTTCATTTTTTCATATCCTGCTGCCGTCAAAGCACCAAGAATTGGGGCCAAGAGATCATCAACATTATCAGACAGAGCATGTTAAACCAGTGTACTTATGCTGAATGATTATCTGATGTGCAGAATAACTCAGTGTTGGCTGTAGATCTTCTAGAGGGGTCAGAAATCTGTTTCTTGGGCGGATTCGCTGGCTCCCTCTGGACCTGAGTGCACACAGTGCTGGCTTTGCTCTTCCAGCTGGTGAGCTGTGCCATCCTGGGAGGAGGCCAGGGTAGGAGCAAGTTCTCCATCTGCTCCCTTGCTGGCTCAGTCTAGGAGTGTCTGTCAGACACAGTAGAGCTAAACAGTGGAGGGGGTGGAAAACTGCCTATATGCAGTCCTTGTGGCAGCTACTCTGAGCACTAGAAACAGTGACTTTAACAGCTTGGACACTACTTCAATGTGGACTTCCTGAAACCTGATTGAACGGTAGTAAATCTGTTAAGTGTCAAGAGCCTGCAGGTCTTGTTGTCAAATAACACAATGGGCAAAGTTAAATGCCCAGTTTTGCCAAGTAAAACTTCACTAACCATTAGAAATTAGAAAGGATGGTAATTGTCTTAGTTGCAGCAAAGCAAATTCTTTGGGACCCATTTCTGCATGGCTGCATCTTTGTGATGTTACTTTGCAGTAGTCCTGTCATGTAACAACTCCTTGTGGAAATTTCCTCACAAATGCCACGTGGTTTAGAACTGACTCTGCTCAGGTAAATATGAGAGATATGGCGTGCCTGATGTCAATCCACATTGTATGGTAAACCCATTTATTCTGCATTCCTCAGTTCATAGCATATCACTGCTTTATGTATTCGAGCTGGTTTCTACCAACCTGCCTCTGCAACTTGCTTAGTCTGAAACTTGCAAGCTGGGACAATGAAATATAAACCTAGGCAGAATTTGTCCATGTAGGTGTGTGTTATTTGGGAGAGTGATTTACTTTCAACAGAATCATTAAAAAAACCAAACCCTTTCAAACTGCTTTTACCAGGTCCTCAGAAAACAAGCAAGGTAAGCAGTTGTTACTGCTTAGGGTTAAACCTCACAAGTGTGGACACAGTGCCACATTTTCACATTTACGGTTTCCAGAGCAGGGTAAGTCCATGTCTAGCATCCCACTGTGAGGACAAAGTGGGAATGCATTTGAGTTTACACCCACTGTGTAAATTAACCCTCAAAGCCTGCTAGCACTTCTTGCAATGTGCTAGGAGATCTCAGCATGCTGTCCAGATTCCAGCTTGCTGAGTTATGTTGTCAGTACTTAAATTTCTTGTGTTGTTCTCAAAAAGTGTTACACAGTTCTCCTCAGCCTGGTATAGCGTTGCTGTAATATGCTGTTACTGTACTCAGAGGTAGCTGCATTTTAAGTAGGATAAAATGACTGACATATGGCTAAAACTTGATACATCAATAAAGTCACCAATTTCCATAAAGCCTGCTCCTTTGGGAATGAAGTGCTGGCATTAATAAATCTTCAGGTTGCAGAAAAGTGGGCAATGTTGGCAAGTGAATTCATTACAGATGTGTAACCCTGCACAACAGATCCTTGTAGATAAAATGTGGAGGTCTGATTAAAGACTAGTGGAGGGTGATTGCTCATGTGTAGTAATTTCATTAGGTTGTTTCTTAACAAAGAGCAATGCACTGAAAGTGGTGCATGATGTGTAAAATTCAATTAATAATGAACTACAGCAGGATGTTTATTTGTCCTGTGTAAAAATATTCCTGTCCTGAAAAGACAGAAACAAGGATGAGTATAATTCTTATGTTTAAAAAAAATAAGTAGGAAATTACTATTCTAAGGAGCCTAGAGCGTTTGTTAGTTTATAGACTCAGTGTATGCTTGACAAACAAACAAAGGTACAGTTGCAAGTAAGTAGAGGATTTAAATTCTGCCTTGTTCTGTACAAAGTGTGGCTTAATTTTAAAATATGAAGCCTTGCTCCTGGTTCCATAGAACTGGTTGTATGTTTATGATGTCTTTGCAGGACTAAGGCCTTAAATGAGAAGTTATGATTAAATATTGTGATCCAACCAGCATGAAATACTACTTTGAGTTTTAGTTTAAGTGACATATCCTTGCATTTGTATCAGACACGGCTGATAGTTTCCATGCATAGTAACTTTGCAGGTCATGAAAGTTTGAGTGAGGTTCTCCATTAAATCAAAAATCTTAATGATGTTATGTTAGCTTAGAGCAGTTCAAGCTGCATTACACTTTTGGACTAGTTTCTCTTTCAAACTTTTTTTTTTTAATCTCTTTTACTCTGTTTAATTAAACTGTGCCAACACAGGAACTTTACAAAGGTATTTTCTTGTCTTAAAGGTGAAATGGCATGCCAATGACAATTCAGTGAGCTTCGACACTGATTTCTGTTGATTTTAGGTCTCTATCTAAGCTTTGTGAAATATACTGAATTATTTTTGTTAAAGCTCAGCCCTAATAAAGCAGACGCTCATCTGTGAATTTTCAGATTGTTCCTTACCAGTTAGCAGAAGCCTTCAAGTGTAAATGTAGGTACTATTTAGTCTTTTTTTGTTTTTTTCTTGTAGAAAAAATGAAAGGATTTACATCTGATAGGACAGAAATTTTTGCAGTAGTGGAGAGCACAGAATTTCTGCAATTTCTGCTTTCTGAACAGCCTCTTTTTTCTTTTCCTTTTGCTAATACTTGGTCTGGTTTTTATGTCTGAAAACCAGCAAAGGAGGGCAAGGTAGGTCATATCAGTGGAGATGGAAGGTCAGTAAGAAACATGATGCTTTAGGCTGCAGTTCATGCAGCCTAGAAAAATTAGTGACATTAGGATATCTGAAGCCATGAATAGAAAAGATTTGATGTTATTGCAGAAAAAAGTGGAGGATGACTATGGCTTAGAGGAGGATATTGGTTACTGTCAAAGAGGCAGTTTTGATTCTCACAGAGATAGGGCTCACTTTGTAAGCAGAATTGCTGAAGTATTTATGAAGAATACTTACTTGTTTCCTGAAGACTGAGGATGAAGATGTGCTTTGGATTAACAAAACAGTGCAGCAAGACATCTCTGGTCCAACACTATAAATACAGGAACGAGGATTTCCATGAGGATACACTAAAATACGTCAAATTCATATGTACAAAATATGCAGAAGGCAAAGAGTAGTGTGTAGAGAGAGAAAATAAAAAGTCCAATAAATGAAGTGACTAGGGTTGTTGCTTCTGCCAGACATATGGCAAATCATATTATCATATTCTGTGGAACCATCACAGGGCCTTCATGCATATCCATTGCTGAAATTGGCAGGCTTTTGGGTGATATTTGCAGAGTTTGGAAAGGAAACAGGCTGTCCACAAGCACCACTGCTTTCTTATACAGCATGCCGCACACTGTCTCTCTGCCGTGGTAATCAAACGGTACTGGAGGTTGAATGCGTGCCCTGATGGATGGTGCACTGGTCTGTGCCGAGGGCAGTGCTTTGCCTTGGCCTTGCTGACTCTGATGTCTCTGATGCTTCTGATGCCTCTGAGCTCTTGCTGTTCTTTATTTTTTTGTTTCCTGTAGCTGTTACGTGAGGTGATCAGTGTCTGGTGATCAGCTGAGCCTGGTGACTTGGGCAAAGATCTAGTTCTTGTTCTGTGCTCACATCATAGGAAAGTGCAAGCAGGGATTGAAGCCTTTCATGATTGGCACCTAACATGGCTTGACTTTCACTCTGCTTTTAGTGTGGACAGCCCTGTCTGTTCCAGGTGTTCATGGAATATCTCTATCTGATTATGACCATTATAAAATACAGTGCATCTGCATGCAGTGCAAGTCTGATGTTCATGTGGAGCTTTCTTAGGTGGACTATTTTGAAGTATTTTTCTGCAACCAAAAGAGCTAGGACCTCTTCCTTCCCTTTTATCCCCCTCTGCAATTGTGTGGGTTTAAATTAAGTGGGAGCTGTGATGATCATAAGACTTGCGAATTAGGAGCTGTTAGATGAGCATCAAAATGTTACAAGACTTAGAGGAGAAAGAAGCTCCCCACATCTCATGAATTGCCAGTTTTAACTAGGTTTACCTTAAACTCCTGAATCACTATTCACACTGCAAGGGGAAAAAAAAAAGTGTCAGCTAGCACATTCCAAAGGAATGCAAACAAGGAAAAGTCTTTTTTTTAGAGGTATAGAGAGTATTAGCCATACATACACAAAGACCAAACTCATCCCAGCTGTAATCCTTCCAAGTCCAGTGGAACTCTGCCACGAATGAATACAACACAAGG